CAAATGTTTTTCCTCATCAGGAAGCACAAAGGTAACAAGCTACTAATCACGCAATACGCCCTGCCCCACACTATACTAAATGTTCCCATCTATGTCTCTACTTGATGTACCCTTGTAATATCAAGACAGATGGCTTTTGAAACTTCTGAAAATGTTGATAACAGATTTTTTCAACTGCCTACTCAAAAATACACTGCTAACATTTAAAAAATGGATCTATATAACAGGCCTTGTGAAAAGATGGCATTTACCTTAAAGGTACAAGACCATCAATTTATCATGACTTAAAATTATGAAGGGAGAATAAATCAAGAGTTCTTCACCTCATTATAGTGTTGAGAATAGTGTGGATGTTGGATTTTAAGAATAAACTTTTGAGTAAAGCTCATTTTTCTAACCCATCCAAAGATAACATGTAAAACTTATCTCCTTGTTCCTTCTTCACCTTGAGAAAAGATAAGACACTTACCATGCTTTGACCTCTCCTCTATTTTCTGCAGAAAATGGAAGCCCTGATTTCTTGCACTTCCCCAATCTTCCTTCCCCTCTCCTGCTTTGTTCGCATTCTAATGTTCTGTTCCCACCTTCCACCCCATAGCTCATGATTCCTCAACTGCTCTCCATCTTGTATTATTTTTAATCTCCTCTGGGACCTTTCTCCACTTAGCTTCACCCTTCTCTCCTGTATCTTCCACCTTCTCTTTCTCCATTGAAGTTATTTGCTTCCCATCAATCTCTAAACATGTTCACGTTTATCTCATTTTTTTAAAAAGCTTCCCTTTATATAATTCCTCCCTTTACTTTCTAACTTATCTTTCTTTCTTTTTTCCTCCATGTAAAACATTTCTGCAAGATCATATCTACATTGACATCTCACTTTCTTTACTTAACCACTTCCCATTTATTCTCCAACCCCTGGCAGTTTGGCATCCCACAGTGACCATTGTCATCAACAAATAAAACAACTCTCCCTAAGGTCACCATTACTCCTTAACTGCTAAATCCAAACAGCTGCTTTAAAGTTCTTACCTTTCCTGACCTCTCTGAGGCACAGCAAATCCTTCCTCTACAAAATCCTTAGCTCCCTAGGTTTCTATTAAATGTTTCTTTCCTAGTTCTCTTCCTACCACTCTGATCATTCCTTTGGAGTTTCCTTTCCTGGCCTCTGCTTTCACCACCTCTTTTACCCCTTAAATGGTGCTACTCCCAAGAATTGTTTGTTCTCCTTTTTATTCCATAATCTCTTCAGTGATGGTAGGCATTCTCACAGCTTCCACTAACACCTATAAGACAATAACAGCTAAACTTCTCTCTTGACCACTCCCATGAGTTTCAGACCCATATATCCAAGCCTTCTGGATAGCTCTCTCCTGATATCTCTCTAGCATCTCAAAGCCAACATGCTCAAAACTAAATTAGTTATTTCTTCTCTACAAGCACCAACCATGTTCTCTTCCTGAACAACTTGTTCATGATACCACCACTCTCTCAAATAAAAAACTTGGGAAACATTAATTCTTATTCCATATTCCCCACATGCAATTAGACACCCAATTCCATAATTTCAACTTCCTTACTCTACCTTAAATCATTCTTGATATAAGCTCCCCTCATCAATTACAATAGCTTCTTTATCTTTCCTTAGTATCTCCTACCTGCAACCCATGGTCCACACTGCCCAACATCATTCTAAACTGTTCATTTGTCCGGGCCATACCATGATTTAAATATTTGTAATGATTTTTATCATGTAAAAAATTATGTTCAAACTCTTTATAATGAGTTTGAGTACAAAGTCTTTGCTGATCTTTCCCTTGCTATCTCTCTGTCACCATGCAGGCATGCCATCACTGGTTCAAATGATCTCTGCCACTCGACTAGGAACTCCTTGAAAACACAGACTATGCTATTCCTCTTTGTACACTGGTGTAAGGCAGTGACTAGCACATAGTAGGCCTTCATAAATTTTTGTTAAACCAATTATATATCTAAATATATACCTTCAAAGTAGTATAAAAATTAACCTGTTGATATGGGAACACTGCTATTTTATGGATCATACTATTACTGACAGATTGAAAACCAGTAGCTTAGGTGACCTAAGTTTCTTCATCAGGCTTACCAAACTTGAAAGTTCCTGCAATGTCTCAATCAAGAGTTGCTTAGTTGCTTTGAACAAGGCAACAAGACCCTAGTCTCACCAGTCACCAATCCAAATAGCTTACTCTCTACCCCAAAGTAGTATTTGGGCCTATGCTGTCTTCCTTAAGAACTTTCCTTTTCCAGAAGTCACTGTCCCTTAAAGGGTACTCTTCTAAAATCACAGCTCTTGAAAATTTTCTCTATTGTTGTATTTCTTACATCATTTTTGTTTTATTACAGAAAATTACACTGATACTACATTTCAATAAAAACTAACCAGCTGCCAGCAATTCAGTAAGATTCTTCCATCATAATCTCTTCCCAGTCCCCTCTCATCTCTACCCCAAATAGAAAGTTTAGAAGCAGTCACTATAAAATCAATACTTGTAGACACAGCAGTTTGATGATTATTGGAGCTACACACTAGCCGGACTACCACTAGAAATTCAACCTAGCTATAGTACCCCCTTCTGGTTGAGACAATCTTCTAACCCATGATTATTAACCATCAGAAAAAATGATTGGCTTTTTTCCTTTATTCTGGAACAACGATTTTCAAAGAGCACTCAAACCACTGAAGAGCTGCTAACAACCTAAAATGGAAAAGAAAAACAGTGGCCTTGCAATGGATGACACTGATTGGGAAAAGAAACAGATATCTCCGTTGACATTCTGATGAAGTCTTCAGGAGCTGCCTACTGACAATCACAGCAGTAGAAAGTGTCAAGGGGGCATTCCTTGCTGTAGGAAGTGTTGGGCAGACAGGGGCTCATTGGAAACAGGAAGTCTCACAAGTATCTCTTCAATCCTACTGTGCTCCCGAAAGAAGATGAAATTTGTTTCTGAAGACTTCATCAGAAACTTGCAGTTGCCTCAAATACAGTGTATGTACAAATTTCACTTGTAAAATATATTCCCCTGGAAATGAGTTGGGTGCTTTAAACATAAATCAAATGTTGATTAGTGAGTTCGAAAATGTAACAAACAATCATTTTCCAGAAAGAAAAAATACATACATATTCAGCTACCTTGTATGGCTCCCCAAAAAGATCAAAGCCTGAAGAAAAGAGATCGTCTTCTTGCTGGACTTCTTGATTCCTCCGTTCCCATTCCCTTTTTTTAAGTGCACTACGGTCTTGTTCATAGTGACTGATATGAAAAGGAAAAGACAAAAAGAGAAAAAGATAAATTAATCATG